TTAGATCACACTAGAATCACCAATTTATGCTCGGTATGAGAGGAAATTTTGATAAGGAATAGGATATTTGCATGGTTTCAAGCTCTCCCCACAAATTGCTTATTATTTACAAAAAAAGGAGAAAAGAACAGTTATACAGTGGAGTAATTGGGCAACATCTTGACTGGTGATCAACATTATCATCACTTATGAGGAACAGATGAACATTGCGCACCTCCAGATGTGATATTCCGAGAAGGACTAAAAAAATTAACTATGCAACACTCTAGCCAAGAATCCATAATCTAATCATGATGGGGAAAAATCATGGCATACAAAGTGAGGAATGTGTTAATAATAACAAGAATAATAATAGTAATAGAGGCCTAGGGAGGGCAAGAGTGTTCTTCAAAAAATATCAGTGTCTTAAAAGACAAAGGTGGTGGAAATGTTCCAGATTAAAGGAGACTAAAGAAACAACAGTTGAAGTAATACCTGATCCTGGAGTGATCCTGTACTGAATGGGGGGAAATGTTATAAATTATTGAATCAGCGGACAAAATCAGAATATAGACAGATTAAATTGTTGTATGAGTATAAATTTATGAAGTTGATGACTGTTTACATAAAGACTATGTTAGAAAATGTACACTGAAACATTTAGGAGTTAAGAGCCATTATGAATGTAATTTACTCTCTGATGGTTGAGAAAATGAAAAAATACAGTGTGTGTGCACGCACGTAATGAGGGCGTGCGCCAGCTCAAGCACACGTGCAAATTACAGCATTTTAACAGTAGGTGAATCTGGGTAAAGAGTATGCAGGTGTTCTTTTTACTGTTTTTTATCTTGCAACGTTTATAAGTTTGGACTTCTAAAAGTTTTTTTTAAATGGATACTTTAAAAAAAAAAGTAGAAGCTACTTTTTCATCACCTCTCAGTACAGGTATCCTGTCTTTATGCCCTGACTCTGAAAGGTTACATTTTCTTCTTCTCTTTGCCTGCTTCCACATCCCCCTACAGCATATTCTTCTGGTACTGCTTTCTAGCAGATAAAATCTATAGCATCAGCCACAGAACTTTATGTACAAAGGATGTCATATCTGGGATTTTGAGTTTTTCACATCTGGTATTCCCCATTTATTCTCCCTAACTACATTCTAGAAGTGACTCTAAGCCCTAGCTTTTAAACAAGAGGTTGAAGGATTTCGTGATCTAGCTAACTAGTGACATCTTTGTCTTCTTAGATCTAAGGCAAGGACATCATGTACCTACCACCTCACAGTAAATACCACCATTCAACAGTCTTTTCTGCTGCTCAGAATTTATTATCAAGAGCTTTCCAAGTAGATATTACAAATCATTCATTCAGTTAGTGCTTGTGTTGAAACTGGGCTGAGAAATTTCTCCTCAAGCTTGGATGGCGTGCCTTCCTTTCAATCAGGGATTATGTTCTGTTCCTTGTCTGCATTTTCTGCTGTTTCTTGGACTCGAATATCCTTTCACTATTTGTTTCCTGTATTTTTAAAATGCTATTTGGAGTTACAGACATATCCACCCTTGCACACTTAGTTTGAATCACAAATGGCACTTGTTACATAGACATTTGTAAACATTTCGTCTCCATTACTACACTCCTAAGCACTACGGTTTGAACTGCCCCGTATTTCCATTAAAAATAATCTAATCAATGTGTGCTGTTGTGTTCTTTTCACTTAAACTTACTTTATGTAATACTTTTTCCTACATCTGTGTATCATATACAATACTGTATTTTGCTTAACTATATTATATCTCTGGGCTTCTCCTTGTCAGAATATTTTAAAAGGAGTCAGATTCTATAGTGTGGTTCCCATTATTTAACAATTATTGGCTAGCTAGATCTCATTTTAATTGACAGAACTTAATTAGAAGAGGTGACCCATTTGCCTGTTTTTCTTTAGACCCTGTTTCCTACTTAGAACACATTCAATAACATGACCCAGAAAATATGAAGATATTCCTATTTCTAGGACCATGATGAATATGTTACATCTTTATCAGCTTGGGGTGAGCTGTCAGTTGGAAGCTGCAGGTTCAGCTAAAGCTAAATCACACATTAAGGTCCTTGGCTATGGTTTTTTTTGGTAAAATGATATCCTTAAGTAGATTTTTACATGCTAGCTTTTCTTTAGGGTTTTAGTACTCTATATCTGAACAAGATTTGGTTCTTCTCATATTTAAGTTTTAGGTGAATTCTCACTGACTAGAAGAAAAGCCTCTTACAGAGGCAAGAACACTCTGACTCTCAGATCCTTGTTAACTTCAGTGGGAAAGACACTGAGTCTCTGATTCATAGGGTAGGAATCTTCCTTTGCAATCTTCATTCAGTTCCCTGATATGCTGGCTGTGATGTGTCACTGGCGATAGAATGTATTACTAGAAGCATGTCAAGTGTATTTTGATGGAAAGTAAGGTGATACTAGGAAAACTTGTTTAGTTTTCATGAATAATTAAGCTTTGTGATTGTGATTTGATCTAAAAAAAATACATTTTAATATAATAGAGGATGCCAGAGTATAATGTATAAATGAGATTCATAAAATAGAACCTTAAGGCACAGCATTGCTGCCTTGGTCCCTATCAGTTTGGCTTTCTGGATTAGCTGGGTCAGCATTCTTTTAATAGAATTTACTGTGATAATGGATGTGTTCTGTAATCTGTGCTGTCAGGTACAGCACTAGCCACAAGCCACATGTAGCTGGGTAGCACTTGAAGTGTGACTAATACAACTTGAGGAACTGAATTTGAAATTTTATTTAATTAATATAAATTTAATTTGCTATATATAACTAGTGATTACCATAGTGGACAACACAGATCTGCATTATTTTCGTTAGGGATAAAAATATCTTTTTAATCTAGCAGAGATTTAATCAACTTCAAGATCTCCAAAAGCCTGTTTACGTAGTAATGACAAAATGAGATCATGGAAAATCATTGGAGGGCCTATGATTGTGAGTAACATTGGTACAGAGGTGTTAGCATTTTTTTGTAGAGTCAGTTTTAAAGAGATTTTTATAGAGTCTGAATATTTACTTACTTTGATTAGGAATGTTATACAAGTGATACAGGTCAAAATGGAAAATAAAACAGTAAAATAATACATTCACTTCTACAAATATTTTTGGGATTCCTCCAGACGAGA